AAAATGTCATGAATCAAACAGTCCTGGTCTGACGTTTGTCTTTTTACCGGTAGGCGAAATATTTGTAAATATTATTTTGGGACTTTACGTCACACGGAAATATTATGAACTCTATAAAACAAATTTGGTGTTCCAGTTGTATAGAGCTGCGTCCCAAAATGATGCACTAGCCCATACACTATGCACTACACACTCAACCATGTAGTGTATGAATTATATAAGGTTATTTTATAATTCATAATCGGAGTCTGATAGCCCCTTCCTACTTCGCAACATAATTAAAGCTGTGACAGTTGAGTGCAGGGGCGCCGCTAGCAATTTTGGGCCCTATGAAAGAATATGAGGTTGGGCGCCCCCACCGCACCAAACATGCATACAAGCCAACCTAGCTATTCAAAATCTTTGTCTGCAATTTAACAATATTGATGTTCTAAAGAAGGGGGTGTCCCAATACTTTTATCCATATGTATGTACAAGTCATGTATGCAGACTAGTCAAGTTCTTCCACACTGACTGAATCAATCTTTTTTTTTTTTTTAACCTTGCCTTACACAGAGGCATTGTTGTGTTAGCATAGAAAAGGATCCTGTTCAAACTATTGGTATAAAATTAGAAGCACACAATTCCCTAGAATAGCATTATATGTTTTTTTTTTTTTACTAAAAATGAGAAATTACTAAAGTAGTCAAACCTGTTCATTAGAAGTATAAAGTATATTGCCAATATATAGAAGTATGTTGCCAATACTTTTGGCAATATAGTGTACAAGCCAGCCTAGCTATTCAAAATCTTTGTCTGCAATTTAACAATATTGACCTATTACTTTTGCTATTGCTTTTGACCATTAGGTATCAGTAAAATAATTCATTCAGAACCTTTTTTATGGACATAGACTTTCTGTACCACACTATTCTGCTGATATGGAATGAGTTTGACTCAAATCACTCCTTGATTTGCTAAATAAAAGCCCCCTTTGAGATCATTTTGACAGACATGTTTATTGTATATTCTTTTCAATGTGTTTATTGCTAAATTTAGTGTGTCAAAATAGAAGCGCAGCCGTAATTCATGTGCAGTGTATCTGGTTGCCATGACAACCCCAGCGCTTCCTGCTGCTGCTCTATGCAATCAGAGTGTGAATTTGTAGATTTTCTATAGCACAACTAAAATGTGTTTAAAAGTGCGACTGACCAAATCGTCCGGCTCGGTTTGCCCCCCCTCGAACTCGAAGACATCTCTAATTTGACAGTTTACCATCTGATCTCACTCTCTGGGCCAGGGGTGTCCAAACTCGGTCCTGGAGGGCTGGTGTCCTGAAGAGTTTAGCTCCAACCCCAATTAAACACACCTGAACCAGCTAATCAAGCTCTTATAGGCATACTAGAAACATCCCAGCAGGTGTGTTGAGGCAAGTTGGAGCTAAACTCTGCAGGACACCGGCCCTCCAGGACCGAGTTTGGGCACCCTTCTAATTTGACAGTTTACCATCTGATCTCACTCGTGACTCTAGGCTATGTAGGACGGGACGAAACCATGCAGTGAATGGGGGAAGATTATTTTGCCGGAAATGCAGAAATAAGCCGTAATTTTGTTTTATTTGTAATTCTTTGGTAGATACATTTATAATTTCTTACATTACTACTACTACTCTTACTACTAATAAAACAGATCTCTGGGGGCCCCAAAAGTGCGTGGGCCCTTAGAATCGTCCTAACTTTACCCCCCTTAGCGGTGCCCCTGGTTGAGTGTACTGTCCAACATTCCACACTTAATTTTTTTTCAGTTAAGTGCACTTTTTCTTTTTGGAATTTTCAGTTTTTCAAGAAATTTTCAATTTTCTAAATTTATACTACAAAACCTCATAGTACATAAGTATGCAACTTGACCCAGGGCCGGCCCAAGCCTTTATGGGGCCCTAAGCAGAATTTTATTTGGGGTCCCCTCGGTGCTGCCAATACGACTGATTATTGTCAATGCTTGATTATTCACACACTATAAATCTAACACACCCATTATCAGTTTTATTTGTTGTAGCTGTTTTGCTTACATCATACCAATGTTTTTACCCTTCTATGATTTTTAATTGTGACAGTAGCAAACCCACAAGAGTGGTCAGGTGTTAATTTGCACTTTAACATTCAAAGTCTTACAGGACTAAGTGGCATACTTAATTTTATGAAACAGAATTGTTTTATTACAAAAATATATACCCAGGAAAGTTTTTTTTTTTACACAGAAGACAAAAACTTTCATCTAAAACTAGGTAAGTAAAATGTTATATTATATCAGGGTTGCCAACATTGGTTGCCTGGCTGGAGTGAGATGCATGAATATATATATAAAAAATAAATAAATAAAAATACACACTGCCCTTTACCCACTGTTCGTCTATAGTGTAAATTTTTTTTAAACACAAAATATTTTAAAGCCTATATTATTTTTTAACTCTACAGTCATGGCCAAAAGTTTTGGCAGTGACACATTTTGTGTTTTGCAAAGTTTGCTGCTTAAGCTGTTGTGGTGTTCATTCACATTGTTTCTAGATTATCGTGTAGAGTGATCAGATGCATTTTAAATAATTGCTAAAAGCTTAATTGGCCAAAGAAATCTACTTTTCACAAAAAACTAATTTCACTGTTTTTTGATCCTGACACAAAATGACCAGCTAACATGAATTGACTAATATCAGCAGCACATGTGAAAGGGTGAATGAGTACTAGTCAGGTTAATCACTATCATACCAAATAGATTGTAGAGCAGACTGATTGCTATAAAAGGAGGGAAGAAGCGCTTCCAATCGTGTTCTTGTTAGCAATGGTTTCTTCCAAAGAAACACGTGCAGCCATCATCGCTTTGCTTATTTTCTCTGATGAAGCTACCTTCTGACTGTTTGGGACATCTGGAAAATCAATTGTTCGGAGAATAAAAAGGTGAATGCTACCATGAGTCCTGTGTTGTGTCAACAGTGAAGAATCCTGAGACCATCCATGTGTGGCGTTGCTTTTCAACCAAGGGAGTGGGCTCTCTCATAATTCTGCCCAAAAACACTGCCAGGAATAAAGAATGGTATCAAAACGTCCTGCAAGAGCTACTTCTTTCAACGAGCCATGAGCAATTTGGTGATGATCCATGCATTTTCCAGCATGATGGAGCACCAATGTCACAAAATAAGAGTGCTAAAGAAGTGGCTCATTACATTGAAATTTTGGATCCGTGGCCAGGCAACTCCCATAAAGAACCTGTGATCAGTCCTCAAATGGTGAGTGGACAAGCAGAAGCCCACAAATTGTGATCAACTCCGAGAACTAATAAGGCAAGAATGGATCGCCATCAGTCAGGATTTGTCCCAGAAGCTAATATCCAGCATGCCAGAGAGAATTGCAGAGGTTATGAAGAACAAGGGTCAACACTGTAAATATTGACTCATTATATTTTTTTGCCAATAAAAGCCTTTAAAACTTGTATGCTTATCATTGTTTTTCAGTATACCATAGAAACGTGGAAAAATAATATACAAATACTGAAGCAGCAAATTTTGCAAAACACAAAATTTGTCACTGCCAAAGCTTTTGGCCATGACTGTAGTCCCTACTCAGACAGTACGCAATTTCGGACGAACTCTCAGGGAACCGAGGTTGCGACAGTAACCCGAGACATTTTCTTTGTGTTGACTCAATAATTTTGACATTGATAAGTATTGTTAAACCGCTGTTGCAGACGAACCTTAATGAAATCACTGTAAGCTTATTTAAATGTGTAACAGAACATTTTATTTGTCTGTTTATTTGTCTACATTTCACACAATATCAACATTTGTCCTCGAGGAAAGCAATGATCTCCTCTATACTGCAGGTTTGTACCAATGATAACTTAAAACACAGATGCTTTTTTTTCTGATGCGGGAAAAAAAAAAAATGTAGAAAACATTGTACAAACATGAGAAATTTTACAAAACTATACACAATCAAATGTGCTCGATAAAATTTCATTTTACACTCTTAATGATTTTTTTTTCCTTTGTGAATATACTTACTTTCCATTATTATAACTCTTATTTGGATCAATCAAGCTTGTTTCAAAGGAAAATGGTTGCAAGTCATTTACAGGCAGAACATAATGAGGAATTAAATAATTACACCAAAAACAGAAAACTGAGGAAGTTTCATTACTAAGGCAAACTTCTGCAAGTAAATTCATTTTAAGCATGTAAAAAAAAGGATATATCATTACAAGAATTAGAACGCAAGTTCCTTAGTCGAGGAAATCTGAGCGCATGTGGGGACATTATGAGGAAAAGCTCTTTGAGTGAAGAAAGTTATGAAAGACGCTTTCCTTACATTAGTATTTCACTGCACACCAAGACCATTTCACAGAAAAACATCCTCCTTCTTCCCTCAATTGTATATATAATATACACATTTTACTAAATCAACACTTTCTAACGTGAACATTTCATAAATCAAATTAAAGCCACACAAAGAAAAGCAAAAAGAAACACCTTCCAGGTGAGATGAGAAACAACCCAATGATATGCATACAAACAAACAACTCTATCTTGGTGATCACATGACCACACTTAAATAATTGCATGCAATGCTTTTAACGCTTTGACAGCATTTGCAAAGCGGGTGCTCAGAGGAAGCGGGCCATGCGCTGCCGGACCCCACAGACCGGTTCCTTCTAAAAAGCACAATAAATACGGCTTTACATCTCCCAGGTCAGCAGTTTGCTGCTAGTTAACAAAATGTCAGAATAAATAGTGTAACTAGGCTTGACATGCCCTCAGGATGCATTGTGGACAAACATGGCATGACATGAACTATGGGTGTGCTGGCACACAAAGTCTGGGAATTCATCCAATGCAAATGTATCAATGCAAATACATTGGTTACTTTGTCTGGCCGTGTTATTTCTGTCACGCCGAAAACACATGTTTGTTTGCATAGAAGCATTTACTTCACAAGAGAAGAGAACTGTCAGAGCTAAAGGCTGGGTGTTTGTCTCACAAATTTTTTTTTTTTCTGATTGAAGAGGTAGTTTCACATTTCTCAAGGGATATGGAGTAAAGTTTACTTTACAGGAGACCAGTGCCAATGTCTAATAATCATAATAATAACATCAACAACAATAATAATAAAAGAAAGATGCTTTTTCTAAGTCTCAACAGGACTTAAACTACAGACTCTGAGCTTTGCTCTCCTCGGTCCATCTCACAGATTTCTCTCTTGATAATGGAGCTTGGAATATGGGCAAGATGGAAATGGAAGATTTAGTGGATAGGGTTTGGGGCAGGGGGCGCAGGCGTCATCTCTGTTGTGAGTAGCGGGTACGGGCCTCTGTGTCTTGGAGCGAGGCTTGAGCTGAGGTCCTGCGCTGCAGAGAAGGAGGGAGAGGAGACTCCAGGCAGGATGGAGGAAGCAAGGCCTGAAGCTTGGCCATACGGGTTAGAGCTGGAAGCCTTCCATCGGTCCCTCAGACTGCTGGAAAATGTACTGGCCCTGATTCTGATCCACCTGTGGAACGATGCTTGCATCCTCCTCCTCGACCCCAAAGTAGTGCTCGATCAGGTCAAAGGCCTTCTGGTATATCTCCTGGTTCTCATGGCTCTGCAGGAACTCAATCTTGTCCAAGCCTGTGTGGGAACATCAGTAAAACAATTATATAAACATATGAACCAACAGCATGAAAACACAGTCTGCATGAAAGGAAAGCACATGACAATTTAGATAATTGAAAACACCATTGGCAAAATCAACACATTTTATAATAATAATAATGTTTTTTGTAATATAATAATAATGTATTTTTAATAATAATAATAATATACTAATCAGAAGATTAGTATAAGACTAATCAGAAATTGTGAAAACCAAATGAAAAATTATATAATGTACAATTGTTTGAGACTACTGGATAAGGATTTTTAAATAAATTTCTAAAGATAGTGTAGCGTCTGGACCAATCAAAAACACAATTTTTCATTTGATTTAACAAATCAGTTATTCATTAGATTAACGAGTCGTCACAGACCCCTCACCCAATAGACTGGGCGCCAGGATGTCTGCGAATGACCACAGGCCACTGGTTACCATGGCAACCCCGACACCTTTGCTAAGACCAGAGCCATTTACGACCTGATGGAATGTGAGTAGGGAAAATCACTGCATGTTCCATAGCAAGAGGCACAATGCACAGTAGAAATTGACTTTTCTACTAATTAATCCATAGGAAAACCTTTCTTTGAATGAACACACATATCCTTCAGGTCATCGTGTATGTTGTCTTTGAGATTTTATACTGTTTTATGCAGGCTTGTGATGGAAACACTCATTCCTGTCATCCTACATATATGTAACCCTACCATGTTTAGTATCTATGAATTAGTTTTCTGATGATCTAAACGAGAGTGTATATTATATGTTGGTACATAGGCAATATATTAGTGTCCTGAGAATCTTTAGTAATTTCGATTCAAGTTCCATATGCAAATTACCACACTTCCACACAAAGAGTCATAAAACTCCCCAGTATCTCAAAACTCCCACTTGGGATACCGGCCTTTCTCATTGGACAAGCCCATCTTGAGAGGC